AATTTCTAGAAAAATACAACCTTCCAAAACTCAATCAGGAATAGTCAGAAAACCTGAATAGGCTGATAACTGCTGACGAAGGAGTAATAAAAAATCCCAGCACACAAAAGCCCTGGTCCAGACAGCTTCACAGGAGAGAGCTACCAAACATTCAAAGAAGAACTAACACCTATCCTCCTCAAATTATTCCAAAAAATCCAAGGGGAAGAAAAACTTCCAAACTCTTTTTATGAGGCCAGTATTATTCTAATTCCAAAACCAGATAAAGACACTACAAAAAAAAAAGGTACAAGCCAATATCCCTGATGAATGTTCTAACCCTACAACAATGCTAAAATCCTCAACAAAATATTAGCAAATTAGATCCAGCAATATATTAAAATGATCATACTTCATGACCAAGTAGGATTTATTCCAGGGATACAACGCTGGTACAGTATTTGCAAATCAATAAATATGATACATCACGTAAACAAACTGAAAGGCAAAAATCACACAATCATATCAATAGATGCAGAAAAAGCATTTGACAATATTCAACACCCATTTTTGACAAAAATCTCTCAGCTAAGTGGGAATAGAGGGATCATACCTCAACATAATAAAGGCTATATATGACAAACCTACAACCAACATCATACACAGTGGGCAAAAAATAAAAGCATTTCCCCTAAGAACAGGAACAAGAGAGGGATGTACACTTTCACCACTCTTATTCAACATAGCACTAGAAGTCCTAGCCACCAGACAAGAAGCAAGCATAAAAGGCATCCAACTTGGGAAGGAGGAAGTAAAACTGTCATTACTTGCAGATAACATGATTTTCGACATAGAAAATCCTAAAGACTCCACCAAAAAAAACTACTAGATTTAATAAATGAACTCAGCAAGGTAGCAGGATACAAAATTAACACCCAGAAATTGATGGCATTTTTATACACAAATAATGAACTCTCAGAAATTGAAACTTTAAAAAAAACACCACTTAGCATTGCAACAAAAAATTTAAGATACTTAGTAATAAAATTAACCAAGGAGGTAAAAGATATGTACTCAGAAAACTATAGGAAGTTGCAAAAAGAGATACGGGATGATATAAACAAGTTGAACAATGTACCGTGTTCATGGACTGAAAGAATTAACATCATTAAAACGTCCATACTACCCAAAGCAATCCATAAATTCAATGCAATCCCTATTAAAATGCCAAATGCATATTTCACAGATGTAGAACAAACCCTTCAAAAATTATATAGACCCCCCCAAAAAAGACCCTTAATAACCACAACAATCTTGAGAAAGAAGAACAAAGTTGGAGGGGTCACAATACCAGATATCAAGTTATACTATGAAGCCCCTGTAATCAAAACAGCCTGGTACTGGCACAAGATCAGACATATACATCTGTGGAACAGAACAGAGAACCCAGAAATTGACCCTAGCTATTACGCTCAATTAATATTTGACCAAGGAGGCAAGAGCATCCAATGGAGTAAAGACAGTCTCTTCAATATAGTGTTGGGAAAACTGGACAAGTACATCCAAAAAAATGAAGCTAGACCACCAACTTACACCATACACACAAATAAACTCAAAATGGATAAAAGACTTAAATGTAAGACATAAAGCCATAAAAATCCTAGAAGAAAAGGTAAGCAGAAAAATCTCAAACATCTTTCCTAGCAGTATGTTTGCCAATACATCTCCCAGGCCAAGGGAAACAAAGGAGACTACATCTCCTAGGGCAAGAGAAACAAAGGAGACTACAATAAACAAATGAGACTACATCAAAATAAAAAGCTTCTGCACAGCAAAAGAAACCATCAACAAAACAAAAAGGAAGCCCACTGAATGGGAGAACATATTTGCCAATCACACATCTGATAAAGGGTTAATATCCAAAATATAAAAGGAACTCATACAGCTTAACAAAAGGAAGACAAACAATCCAATTAAAAAATGGGCAAAGGACCTAAATAGACACTTCTCCAAAGAGGACATACAGATGGTTAAGAGACATATGAATAAATGCTCAAAGTCACTAATCATCAGATAGATAGATGCAAATTAAAATGACAAGGAGACATCACCTCATACCTGTCAGAATGGCTACCAACAACAAATCAACAAATGACAAGTGCTGGTGAGGATGTGGAGAAAAGGGAACCCTAGGTACACTGCTTGGTGTGAATGCAGGCTGGTGCAACTACTATGGAAAACAGCATGAAATTTCCTCAAAAAATTAAATATGTAACTGTTATTTCACCCAGTGATCTCACTTCTAGGAATATATCCTAAGAAACCTGAAACACCAATCAGAAAGAAGTTATGCACTTCTATGTTCGCAGTAGCACAATTTACAATAGCATAGATGTGGAAACAGCCCAAGTGGCCATCAGTAGATGAGTGGATAAAAAGCTGTGGGATATTTACACCATGGAATACTATGCAGCTGTAAAAAACAAGGATCTTTTATCCTTTGGAACAGCATGGAGGGAACTAGAAAGTATTATGCTAAGTGAAATAAGCCAGAAAAAGAGAAATACCACATGATCTCACTTATATGTGGAATATAATAAACAAGATAAACAGATGAACAAAATGGATCCAGAGACATAGAAGCATGGAACAGACTGAGGGATCTCAGAGGGAAGGTGCGGAAGGGGGTGTGGGTGGGCAGAGATTAATCAAAGACCTTATATGTTTATAGGCATAACCCATGGACACAGACATAGGTATGGGGAAAGCCTGGGGATGGGATGGATGCGGGATGGAAGGGATCAATAGGGATAAAAAGGGGACATCTGTAGTATTTTCAACAACAAAGATAAAGAAATTAAAAAAAAAAAAGAAACAAAGAGATCAGGCCCAAATAAATATAATCATAAATGGAAAAGGAGAGGTAACAACAGACATCACAGAAACACAAATGATTGTAAGAAAATATTATGAACAACAATATGTCAACAACATAGACAAACTGGGCAAAATGGACAAATTCCTAGAAACATACAACCTTCCAAAACTGTATTATGAAGAAACTGAACACCTGAATAGACCAATAACAACTAATGAAATCTAAGGACTAATCAATAAACTTCCAAGAAACAAAAGCCCTGGATAGAATGGCTTCACAGGCAATTTTTACCAAATATTCAAAGAGGAACTAACAGCTATCCACCTCAGAATATTCCAAAAATTCAAGAAGAAGGAAGATTCCCAAGTTCTTTTCATGAGGCCAACATTATCCTAATACCAAAACCAGATAAAGACACAACGAAGAAAGAAAATCATAGGCCAATAATTCTGATGAACATACATGTTAAAATCCTCAAAAAAATATTAGCAATTTGGATCCACTAATACATTAAAAGCGTCATACACCACGATCAAGTGGGATTTATTCTAGACGCAATGTTGGTACAATATTTGCAATCAATAAAAATGATATATCATATAAACAAAATGAAAGATAAAAATCAATGATCCTATCAATAGATGCAGTAAAAGCATTCGATAAAAATCCAGCACCCATTATAAAAACTCTCAGCAAAATGGGAATAGAGGGATCATACCTCAACAAAATAAAGGCCATATACGACAAAACCTACAGCCAACATCATACTCAATGGGCAAAAAAGAGAAGCGTTTCCCTTAAGATCAGGAACAAAACACACACAACTCTAGGAATTTGTCCATTTCATCCAGGTAGTCCAAATAGGTGGCACATAGCTGTTCTTAGTATTTTCTTACACTCCTTTGTATTTCTGTTGTGTCAGTTGTTACTTCACCTCTTTCGCTTCTCATTTTGTTTATTTAGGTTCTCTTTGTTTCTTGATGAGTCTGGCTAAAGGTTCATTAATCTTGTTTATCTTTTCAAAGAACCAATTCTTGGTTTCACTGATCTTTTGTATTGCTTTTTAGTATCTATGCCATTTATTTCTGCTTTGATCTTTATTATTTCTTTCCTTCTACTTACTCTGGACTTTCTTGTTCTCCTTCTAAGTCTTTAAGTTGTAGGGTTAGAAAGTTTATTAGAAGTTTTTCTTGTTTTTTGAGGTAGGCCTGTAGTGCTCTGAACTTCCCTCTCAGGACTGCTTTCATTGTGTCCCATAGATTTTGGGNTCAACAGAAATATATCGACTGAGAAGATGCCATTGTTTTAAATGTTTGCCAATCTCTTTAATGTCTAACAAGAGAAAAGGTGTCTATATAGTATTCTATCAGTCATTTATGTAATAGTATCATGGCTAAAGTATATGGCCAAAGTATCATACAGATATATAATTGAGAAATGAAAAAAAAACACACATACAAAAAACAATGCCAGGCCATGTCAGGGTTTCCTTTCTTTGATGAAAGCTCTCAGGAAAGGTGGCCAGACATGGAGTCAAGATACGGGTGTAGAAAGATAAGGAGTCCATCCAAAGGTAACTATAAGAGTAGGAGGCTCCAGGATGCTCATTTCCTACAACTGATGGAGGTGCTTAAAGAATTACCAATATAAAGTAAATAGCCAAATACATGGTAGATCTAATATTTTGGCCACAGCCAATGTCCTTGTAACTTGTGGGAGGAAAAAGGTGGCTAGCATATTCTATTTGTTCCACAAAGAGATGTTCTCCTCTCCAAGAACCTTTCCCTCCATCCTTTTTTAAAAGAGAGGTTTCATTTTCACCTTCCTGTGGAAAAATAATCTCCAGCTTGTTAAGATTTCATGAGGGCAAATTCTACCTAGTAGATTGGGACATAGGCATAACTATGCTTAAGACTTCTAATGTACTTTTTACCCAAGGCCACCAAGCAACTAAATCTCATTTGAAAAAAAGAAAACTAGATATTTTTATTGTTTATAGATGCATAATAAATTAAACTGGCCCTCGGTTAGAGTCTTTAGGAGAAATAGATCAAAGCTCATATCCTAGAGAGCTAGGAAATAGCCTGGCTGGCATCCTGGCCTCACCAGTTACACATGACCTGTGATTCCACCTAAAACTGACCTGTGAAGAGAAGAGACCCTTTCAGCAGATCTTTCCCCACCACTTCTTTTTTCAGGAATGCAAACTCTTCCATCAAGAGCTCAACATGTTCTTCATGCAAGACTTTCCCTGTCAGGACAAAATATGGAGTAAAAAGGCAGTAATTATCAATTGTGTAGAGTTGTGCATCCCAGCGTCTAAATCTGTCTTCCCCCAGCACAGAAGGACATATAGGCCTCGAAACCAATCTGGGAACCACTATACCTTTAACACATCCCAGCTGTAGGTGGTATGAATTCTAAAATTACAACAGGAATAAAAATCTAAGCAAGCAAGATGATATCCACCTGCCTCATAGGCAAGATGGGATCAGGAAAATATCAGAAGAGAATAGTGTAGCATAAAAATCTAAGACACAAAAAGGATAGGGATTGTCGAGATTAAAGGAGAGAAGCTAAAATTAGACTTTATTTCAAAGAATTGAAAGAACCAGATGGCTGTTTAAATTAAGTTGGGAGATAAAACTTTAATATTCATAATTTTTTAATTATAAAAAAAAGATGTTTAAAAATTTTGTTTTAGTGACTTTTTCATATCTAAGCAGGAACTTCATAACATACCCAAACTATTTTGTGATTAAGTGCAAAGTGTGGTTATGATCTACACTTTCGCTGAAACAAAGAGAGAAATCTGGGCCACTGTAAGATACTCATGGGACATTAGCCTTTTCTTAGCTCAGATTCACAGAAAACACTGCAGAGTGTGTTGGGCTTATTTTGCACCTCACGGAGTGGGCAGGAATGTCTTCAGAGTCTCCAGAGAGTTAGGTGTGTTCAAGAGTGAGATTTCCCCCACCCACTCCCTAACCCATAAATAATGTCAGAGCTTCTTACAATAAATAGCAGTTCCCTCCTGTGGGTGATTCTATCCATATGTGCATGCTTATGAGGGGAGGCTGGGCATCTGGGAAGTTAAACCATGTTTCAGAGCATGTTGTAGTCTCTCTAGCTTCTTTATTTCTATTTCTGTATTTTTATATCCATGGTCATTAAGAAAACTTTAAACTTTCAACTGCATCTTTGGCTGTTTTTCTATCATTCATTCAATGCTCTATTGTGGTAAATGTGGCAACCACATTATACAGATATACACATGAATGTGCATGCACACACACACACACACACACACAAACATATTCATATATATTTTTCCCCAGGTTACTTCACTGAAAGGACTTAGAAGCAAAGATACCTGAGAAGCAAAAGCAATGAGCACACCTAGCATGCAAATATTGGCATAAAAATACCATTTACTTCACTGTTGGTGGGAAGGTAAATTGGCAGAGTCACTGTGAAAAACAGTTTGGAGGTTCCTCAGAAAACTAAAGATTGAACTACTATTGATCCAGCAATTCTACTTCCGGGTATTTATCTGAAGGAAACAGAAACACTAACTTCAAAGGACATATGCACCCCTATGTTCAATGCAGCATTAACCAAGATATGGAAAGAATCTAAGTGTCCATTGATGGATGAATGGATTAAAAAAATGTGGTATATACATATGAGATGCAGGGATCAAGAAAATGCAACACACACACACTGGAATATTATTTAGCCATAAAAAGAAAATATTGCCATTTGAAACAATATGGACCTTGAGGGAATTATGCTAAGTAAAATTAGTCAGACGGAGAAAGACAAATACCATATGATTTCACTTATATGTGAAATATATAACAAAAGGAACAAAAAACCTCATAGATACAGAGAAGAGATTTGTGGTTGCCAGAGATGGGAGGTGAGAAGTGGGCAAAGAAGGTTAAGGCAGTCAAAAAGTACAAAACTCTAGTTATAAAATAAATAAGATTGGGAATGTAATGTACAGCATAGTGACTATAATTTGTACTTACCTGTATATTTGAAAGTTGCCAAGAGAGTAAGTCTTAAAAGTTCTGATAGAAAAATATTATGTGTAGCAATAAATGTTAACTAGACTTGTGGTGATCATTTCACAATATATATAGATATCAAATAATTATGTTGTATACCTGAAACTAATGTTATATGGCAATCATATCTCAATTTTTAAAGATTTTAATTAAAAAATGCCATTTACCACTAAATGAACTAGGGCTCCTTGAAAAAAATCTCTAATTGCAGGACTGAGGCAGAAAAAGTATACAATGACCATAAACCATTTTATGTCAGAAAGCAAAGAATTGCTCAAAGAATAACAGAAATATAACAAAATGAGACAAGAGGTAGCATGAAGAGGTCCCCATTGACCAAATATGAAAAAATTTGAATATCAAATAAATAATGAAAATGGAGTATAAAAGGAAGCTAGGAATCCATACTGATATAAAGACATAATCAGAAAGTGTGATAAATAATGAATAGTTACCAAATTTCAAACTTCCTCCCCACAAAATAATCATTAATTACAAATGGGAAAAATTTAACTTTCATTGAAGTAGCCTAGCAGACACCACCTTAATCAAATGGTATCACTAGTAATGGACAAATGGAAACTGAATAGCACCTGATAGGATGCAATGCAAAGAACACTCTATGATATTTCTGTAAAAGATACATATCACAAAAATAATCATGAAAGAAAATGAGGCAAACCCAAATTTAGGAACACTATACAAAATAAGTGGCCAATAAGCTTCCTAAATATCAAGGAAAGACTGAGGAACTGTCCAGAGTAGAGGTTAAAAGTGACATGACAATTGAAGACTATATGTAATTCTAAACTAAATCATTTTGCTATAAATAATGTTATTAGGAAAACTGGGAAAATTTAAATGAGACCGGATGTTTAGATTGTAGTATGTATCTGCATTACTTTCCCCCAGTTTTCCATTTTCTTAAATTGAGGAATAACTGAAAAATATAATTGTAAATATTTACAGTGAGCAACATGTTGATTTGATATACATATAAATTATGAAATGATTATCAAGATCAAGATACTTAACACATCCATATCAGTTAACTTTTGTGTGTGTGTGTGTGTGTGTGTGTAATGAAAATGCTTAAGAACTACTTTCAGCAACTTTCAAGTACACACTACCATATTATTAACTATAATCACCATTAAGTACATTAGATTCTCAGAACTTATTCTTCTAGTAACTAAAAATTTGTGCCCTTTGTCCTACAAATTTTGGCCTGCCCTATTTTCCCTTTCCCTCAGACCCAGGCAACTACCATTCTAATTTCTGTTTCTATAAAACTGAGGGATTTTTTTTTTTTTTTTGGTCTTTTTAGATTCCACATGTAAGTGAAACCATACAATATTTTTCTTTCTCAGTCTGGCTTTACTCACTTAGCATAACATGTTCCAGGTTCATCCCTGTGTCGCAAATGGCAGAATTTTTTTTTTTTCATGGCCAAATAGTATCTCATTGTACAGAATGGGGCAAAAGTAGGCTTACAGTTGAGAGTACATGAAACACAGAGTTTATTCTTATATTATAATTTATTATTGTATTATTTTCTATATGAATAATTGTAAACCTACTTTTGCCTCACCCTGTATATACATATGCCACGTTTTCTTTACCCTTTCATCCATCGAAGGACATTTAGGTTGTTTCCATTTCTTGGCTATTGTGTGAAAAATATTGCAGTAAACTTGGGGGTGCATATATTTCCTCAATATGCTAATTTCAATTCCATTGGATATATACCCAGGAGTGGGAATGCTGGATCATACAGTTCTATTTTTAATTTTTTGAAGACCTGCCATATTATTTTCCATTGTGTCTGCATCAGTTTACATTCCTACCACCAGCGTTCCTTTTTCTTCACATCCTTGCCAACATTTGCTGCCTCATCTTCTTGATGACAACCATAACGGATGTGAGGTAATATCTCATTTTGGTTTTCATTTGAATTTCTGTGATGATTAGTGATGTTGAACATCTTTTAATGTATCTGTCAGCCATTTGTATGTGTACTTTGGAAGTATGTATATTCAGTTCCTCTGCCCATTTTCTAATTGTGTCATTTTCTATTAGTTTTATGAGTTCTTGATATTTTAGACATTACCCCTTATCAGAGAATTTGCAAATATTTTGCCTATTTTGTAGGTTGCCATTTCAATTTATTGTTTTCTTTGCTGTGTAGAAGCTGTTTAGTTAAATGTAGACCTATCTGTTTATTTTAGCTTTCACTGCCTGTGCACTTTGGGTCTTACCCAAGAAATCATTGCCATGATCAATGTCAAGGATTCAAGGATTTGTCCTTATGTTTTTTTCTAGGAGTTTTAGAGTTTCAGGCAACTCTTTTTTATGGCTTCATTTGTCTTAGATACATTTTAAGATAACTTTTTTGTGAGTGGCGTTAAGATAAAGGTCCAGTTTTATTTTTCTGCATGTGAATATACAGTTTTCCCAATAGTAATGACTGAGAGAATATCCTTTCCCCATTGGGGGTTCTTGGTGTCCTTTGGCAAAAATTCTTGGGTTCATGGCTGGGCTCTCTATTCTGTTCCACTGGTCTGCTTGCCTGTTTTTATGCCAACACCACACTCTTTTGATAATTATAGCTTTGTAATACAGTTTGAAATAAAAAAGTGTAATGCCTACAGCTTTTTATTAAAAAATATGTTTTTATTGCTTTGAGAAAGAGGGGAGAGGGAGAGAGAGAAACACCATCTCCTGCATGCCCCACTGGGGATGAAGCCGGCAACCCAGGCATGTGCCCTGACCAGGAATCAAATCAGTGACCTCATGATGAATGGGTCAACTCTCAACCACTTAGCAACACTGGCCAGGCCAGTTTTGTCTTTTTTGTTTTGCTTTTGTTTTTTAAACCTCACCTGAGGATATTTTTTTCCATTGCTTTTCAGAGAGAGTGGAAGGGAGAGAGAGGGAAAAAGAGAGAGAGTGAGATTGGTTGCCTCTCCCACAAGCCCTGACCAGGACCGGGGATAGAGCCTGCAACTGAGGTACATGCCCTTGGCTGGAATCGAACCCAGGACCCTTCAGTCCGATGGCCTGACGCTCTAACCACTGAGCAAAACTGGCTAGGGCTCAGCTTTGTTTTTTATTCTCAGGATTTCTTTTGCTATTTGGGGTCCTTTGTGGTTTCATATATATTTCAGAAGTTTTTTTT